AAATTGACCCTGGCTTGTGGAGCAGCATTAAGAGGCCACAATTCTGTCAGGCTCAGCTGACTGATCGGTTCCATTGTGGGGCTCTTTCTCGCATTAAGTACAGTCACGTGCAACAATCAATCATCAACCAGTCACTCAGTATCAATCAATGATTTCTGTGGTAATTTTACCACGCTCTTAGTATATGGATTAGTTTCGAGTGGTAGGATGAACTGGAAAGGATTCAGAAGGAAGCGGTCATGGCCTGATTCAGATATTCTTCCCGACTTTTGTCTGGAGAGACTGAGGCAAATCACGATAAAACTGTCATTGTAGCCGGTATCCGGGGCGAGATTCAAACCGAGCACCTCCCGAATGCGGGTTATGCTAACCATCCGGTAATGCCCTCTGCAGGCGATTCGACAAGCAGGATTGCATTGGCCGGGCCTGTAGAACGCATGAGGTGAATCAGAGATACAGCGGTGTCGAGAAGCTTGACGTGAAAGGACTACATGGAAGACCAAGGAATAGATGGCACAATGATATTAAATGGACGTTGAATAAGTTGGGGGAGCCTATAAATGTTACTCACTCTAGTAACTGGTTACGGGCTGAAATTGGATTCGATTCCCGGGAGGAACAAGACATTTGTCTCTTCTCCAGAGCACCCAGACCGGCTCTGGGGCCCACCCAGCCTCCCATCCAATGGGTACCGGGGGCTCTTGTGCAAGGGACGGGAAGCAGGCCACTCACCTCCATCTAATGCTGAGGTTAAGGATGTGTGGATCTATACCTCTACTTCCCCATACGTCTTCATGGCTTTGTGTTTAATTAAGCACAGCGACAACTTAGCCCTTGCATTTACAGACATGGTACAGTTGTCAGAGAACTCTTCTCAGTGCCCAACTCTGAACCAGTTCAATCCAGTGCATATTCCAACAGAGTATTACATCAAGAAATACATTTTAATATTATGTGTCCTTCTAATCTACCTCTACCAAGGGGTCCTTTTCCACAAAAAATTGCAACTGTTATAAATTTGTGCCTGTGCTGAATTAAGTACCAAGCTATGAAGACGTGTGGAGGAGTAGAGGTATAGCTCCACCATTCATAAAATGAACACTGAATGGAGATCACTAGTCAGTTTCATGCCCCGTCCGGTTTACCCCTAACAAATTTCGTCCCCCGGTAAGCCATGGATATGAGGCTGGATAAGTTCCAGAGCCGGTGTGGAGGCTGCTGAGTGTCGAACCTTGATTCCTTGGTTGTCATCCTGCAGATCAAATTGTGTGTGACGCAATATTAACATTTGCTGTTCGCTCGGGGCAACACGAGATCCTTGTGTTGAGTTGCATAAACTTTGTACAGTGACGTAGCTAACTCATTTTACTGAGGGATGTCAGACAGCCAGTAGGAGCAGCAATGGGACCGCGACCCCTCCATGGTCCGAGGCTTCTCCTCCTTCAGGGATGCCCAGTCTCCCAGCTCATGGGAACGAATGGAGAAGGACAGGAATAGTTAAATGCATAAAGAAGCTAGAGAGAAGTCTTGGTCTGCTCAGACACTGCGATCATGGGTTTGAATCTCAGAAGAGACAGAAATATGTGAGTTTCAAAATTAATTCCGAAGAGAAAGGGGCCAAAGCTGAAACCGGTGAATACTCTTGCAGGATTTCTTAAGACCGTGATTAGGAACGTTACTAAGCAACACGTCGAACCTCCTGGTTACGTAGACTGGGGTTTTCGGTTCAGAATACGTGCGTGATATCGCCTCTCCCATTGGCTCGCGACAATGCCCTACAGAGCCGCGGTTCTGACGCAAAGAGACCATGACCGTCTCCTTCCAGATACTTGTATACAGTTGATGTATGTATTCCTTCTCCTTTCCTCTTTCAATAACGCGT